CCACATTTGCTTATTCACCCGCTTTGTCTTCAGCGGTTGTGTCGGGAAGGTGAGCATCATAGAATGCCAATTTACTAGAAGAAAGTATTCTTGCATTGAGCCTCCCTTCTCTATCCTACATCATCAGCTTCCCGTCATCTATGGGGTTGATGCGATTGACGGAGACGCATGGCCTCGTCAGATTTGAAAAGTCTCCCCTTTAGCCTCCTGGCCATTGGTCCAATTTCAGTATTCGTCTCAGAGCAAAATCTCTTTAAAAAGGAGTTCAGAGCCTCTGCTTCCTTATCTCCCACCATCATTTCCACCTACTTCAACTTGGCCTTTGTCCTCTCCACTCCACCAAATGTGCTCTTGTAAATATCTCCAAGACCTTGACCATCCCACCAGTGGCCATTCCAACCCCGGTGATCACTTTTCCATTGTCGCCTTGTGTGAACCCCTGAAAACCTTGACCACTTCCTTCTTGAAACATTTTCCTCTCCTGCCTTCCAAGACACCACCTTCCCCAACTTCTCCTTCCCAGTCTCCCTGGCTCCTCTGGCTTGACCTCGCAATAGTAGCGCATCCTGGAGCTTGGCCAGGGACGGTGTCTTTCCCCGGCACCATCCGCCAGTCCCAGGTGGTCTGACAGTGGTCATCTAATTCTTCACTTCAGCCCACACCTCTCCCGCTGGCGCTCAGATTTATTTACCCCATTTCCTCATGCGTAGCCCAGGGTGAGGTCCAATGGGCATTGCAAACATGCTATGTTCAAAATGGAACTCAAGTCACACAGAAAAGCCTCTTCCTCATTGCAACAAAGGTCACCATCACTCAGCCAGATGCTCAGGCCATTCTTACACCTCTCTTTCCATAGGCAGCCCCACCAGCACGTCCCGTCAGACTCTCCCTCAAGAGGACCCTTCTGTCCAGGTTCAAAGCCCTAACTCCCAAGCCACCGTCATCTCCTACCTAGGCTCAAACAGGAGCCTCATTGCAAGTCCCCATGCAAGAGCCATCAAGAGCAGTAGCCCACAAGCTTTCTCCTAAGCTTTCTCTTTAGAAACCAGAGCTCTTTCTAACCCATAAATCATGGCATTTCCCTGCTGACAATTCTCTGGTGTCTTCCCAACATTTGAAATAAAGCCTAAAGCCCCTTATCAGAGAAGGCTCCACAGGCTCCTTCCTCCTCCCACTGGCTTCTTACCATATTGACCTTCTTCTGGGCCTGGAATTTCCCAATCTCCTGCGTGTCCCGGGGCCTTTGCCCTTGCTGGTCCCTCTTCCTGGGACGCTATGTCTCAGATCTTGCCCTGGCTGGCTCTGACTAAGCTCTCTCTTTTCCCCATCCCTGCCTCCTCTGAGAGGCCTTCATTGACTCCCCAGTCCGACCCTCAGCACACCTGCTGGTTTTGTCCTTTCCTGGATCAACTGCCATTTACAATAACGTATCATCTCTCCCATGTAGATGGTAGGCAAGTGCTCCTTTCCCCTCCAGCTCAGGGAACAGCCATGCTCGCCGGATGGGAGATATGCTCGGCCTCCCAGATTCCCTTGCCAGCTTATGCCCACCGGAGAAGCCTGCTTCTCCATGCCTGAAAACCGCTTTACTGCTCCTCTCTCTGACCAGAGCTGGCAAGGCCCAGGTTCCTGAGACCCCCACCTCCCACCAGGCCCTGCTTGGCAGGGCGGCAGGGCCAGAGGAGGAGAGGAAAAGCTTCAGTAACGGCAGCGGCTGGATGCTCCATGTGTGCTGCCTCCCAAGGCTTTACCATCAGGGAAACAGAGGCTTCATGACATCCAGTAACTTGCGCAGGGCCGCACAGCTGCCATGTAGAGAAATGCAGAGGACTCCGACCCAGAATCCTTTGCCTCTGGTCGCCGAGCAATGCTGCCCTGAGCAAGAAGCAGACCACTCGGTGTCTGCATGTGGCAGACACGAATGATCCTCCCCAAGCCCTTCGCCTCAAAGTGGTGATGTTTCTCGTTTGCCATGGGGGGGAGGGGGCAAGGCTATCCTCAGTGTAAGGGGTCACCGAATTGTGGCTGCTCAGCTCACGCAGGGTTCTTATGCCTCGTAACCATTTCCTGGAGCAGAAAGCGTCCTCTTTCTACTGCGGAGCAGCTGGTGGCTGCCGCGCTGTGGTCAGCAGTCCTAGGCGGAGGCCACTACACCACCAGGGCTTTGGACATGTGGTCAGGAGAGGCTGGTCCCTGTCGAAGGACACCACGCTTGGTAAAGTACAGGGGCCATGAAGTAGAGGAAGACCCTTCACGAGACGAGTCCGTGATGAGGCAGGACGGACTGGATGGGAAGGGGCATCCGGGGCATAGAGCACAGAAAACAAAGTGAGCTGTCTCCCCCAAGAGCACGCAGGGGCTGCACGAGTCTCTCTCGCCTCGCACGCCTGGCCCGGGCAGCCTGGGCCCAGTTTGCTGATGCCTGTTTTTCCTGATGAGAGGGCCCCAGTGCACTAGCCCACCGCAGGCCCCGCTGACCCCATGTGACATGAGCCCTGCTGAGTGCCACTGCCCTCTGACCATAACCCCAAGACCCCTGGGCTAAACTTCCTGGTTGTGGTTTTGATGTTAATATTAATACAGGATGCTATTGAGCCCTGGTGACATAGTGGTTATGTGTTGGGCCACTAACTGCAGTTGAAGCCACCAGTCTCCCCACCGGAGAAAAATGAAATTTTCTACTCCCAGAAAGAACTAGAGTCTCAGAAGCCCACAGGGCAATTCTACCCTGTCCTGCAGGGTTGCTGTGAGTTGGAGGGGACTTGATGGCCATGAATGGGTTTGTTATTCTGATGTAATCATATTACTCATCATAAAACCCTCACTGAACGCCAGGCACTTACACGCGGCCCTTTAAATACTGCCTTTCCCAATCCTCCCTCTGACGCTGTGGAACCTGGGACTCAGAGGAGGTCAGCGACTTGCCCAGGACCGCACAGCTACCAGATGGAGGAGGCAAGGGTAGGAACTCAAGTTGCACCTCTCCTAGCCCTTTCTTCCCTCCCACAACCCCTGAACGTGCCTGCTGGCTCTGGAACCAGACGTTCTGGCCTACCATCTCCCGTGAGTCACCAAAATGTCACCACCCCCATGTGGAAGCGAGGGTGGGGGGCTCTGGCCACCCCCGGTTGAGCAATGATGGCAAGATAATGTAGGGAGGGTCCCGATGGCATGATAGGGACACAGAAGTACATGGAGATGGGTGTCCAGGCACATGGAGACATGCATGCCACCAGCTGCACTTACCACCTGAGGGAGGGCGAGAGAGCCCAAAGAGAGGGTTCCCGGAGCAGACAGAGGAAGGAAGAAGGAGTTATTCAGACGTGAGAAGTAGCAGGCCCTGTGCCTGGAACACCTAAGGGCTTCGCTGGCTTGCCTGTGTGGTGGGTGGAAGTACTGAGAACACCTCCGGAGGGCAGCCCACCACTGGTAGAAGCTGCCTGGGGCATGGCCCGGAGGCGGGGCCACATCTGGACTGTGGGTTGGTCAAGAGGTCCGAAGGGCTCGGGTCTTCTAGCAAGGTCTGCTGCGGACCCAGCGAGCAAGCGAGGGGACCACAGCTTATTCAGCGCCTCCTGAACTCCCAGGTGCCTCAGCCCATGCTCTGGCCCAGCGTCGGGCCAGAGGCATAGACCTCAAACAAGAGACCTGAGGGCAGGGCCACGTGTGGAAGCCAAATGGCCCAGCTCCCAGGTCTACTCCAAGAACTGTGGCCGCTGAGCAGGAAGCCTCAGCAAGGGGCTGTCAGAGGGTGGGCCCACGGGCAGCTCAGGCTAGGTCGGTGAGAGGACACGCCCCACTCACGTGTCCGTGCAGGTCCGTGTTGAGCAGCATCAGGGCACAGGTGAGCGTGTGGATCCCGTCTAAATCAGAGAAGGTGAGTGGGACCCTCAGTGTTAGGGCCCAGCTCATTCCCACCCCCAACCACTTCCTGTCTCCCAGATGGAGCCGGGCTGGGGGTGTGGGAGACAGGAAGTGGCCAGTGGCTGGTCAAACACATGGCAGGACTCCAGGCCTGGCCACGCTCTATGCTTCTCGCCCACCGCGGTCCAGGGGTCACTCGCCTTCCCCAGACTCAGGGTCTGACCACCCTCCACCTGCTTCAGCCCAGACTCTAGCCCCCTGGGACCTGAGACCCCCACCCTGCCATGGGATGTGTCTGCTCCCATAATTGGTGTAGACCAGTTCCTGGGCCTCTGGTTCATCCTGGCACAAGTCCTGCACCTGAGAGGGCTCTGAGCCAGACTGCCAACACCAGGATGCCCATCATACCAAGAGTCGGCATCGCAACAGGGGGCCTGGAGGAATGAAGACCCGCAGGACCCATCTCTAGAACAGAGGGATTTCTAGGAATGCCAACGGGTGTGATGTCTGGGAGGGGCCTTGACCCAGCAGGCAGACCGTCCCATCCCACATGCCACCGCCTACTCATCAGTGTTCACGGAGCATCTACCCTATGCCAGGGGGCGGGCCGCCGGGGACTGGCAATGGGACGGAGGTGGCAGGTGGGCTGTGGAGGGCAGAGGGAGGGCAGTGGTACCTTCTGAAGTGCTGTCCTCAGGGTTGCACTGGCAGTACCGGCGGGAAAAGTGCGTGAGGACCCGCTCTCGCTCCTGCGTCTCCCCCATCAGTGGGAAGGCCTTCAGGAAGGTCCTAGAAGGTTCCAGAACCCCAGATTAGTCCGGCACCTCACCCAAGACAAGTGCTCCCCCACAAACACACACCCCTCTCTGGGAGTTCCAGGGCCCTAGCCTCTGGGGTCCTGGATGTCCTCCTCGGGGCCCAGGGAGGCCCAGGCCCCGAGAGTAGCTGGTCTGGCTTAGAGCCCAGGAACCCAAGGAACCTGCTCGCTAGCTTTTGAGCTTCAGCCCTGCCCACTTTCCCTCTGGGCCAGTTTTGGAAGCAGACAGGGGCTAGACTGGGAGTGCCTCAGGGCGGGCCCCAGCTCTTCTGCAAGGTAAATGCCTGCTCCTCTCTCCTCCTCCACTGCTAGCCCCAAGCTGTCCCTTGCTGCCCCTCCGGCCATTCCTCCATGTGCCACCCGTGGGACCCCTGGACCCAAACCTGACCTCCTTTACCCTCCCTCTCCCCCCACCCATCCCCCGGGGATCCCCCAGTCCAAATGGTTTATCCTGGCCCGTGTCTCCTCCTCTGCTCTCATCAAGTCTCCCTTTGAGCCCCCAGCACCTCCTCACAGCAGATGCCCCAGGCAAGAGTCACGTCCAGGCTCCCAGGGACCCTTCCTGTCGAGCGCCTCACTGACTGCTCAGCCTCCCTCCTGGGCCTCCAACCAAACCCCCACCTGCTGCTACCCTCAAACCCCTAAGCCATCTCCACACCCCCACACCCCCCACCCCCGGACAGGACGGCACACTCTCCCTCGGTGCTTCTCAGCAGACCAGGCCCCTCCCCAGCCCAGGACTAGGAGCCAAGGACTTGAGAGTAACTGTGATTGGTATGTTCAAGGAAAGGGAGGGAAAGTGGAGAGAATAAGGAGAAAGTAGGGAATTCCTTAGAGAACTAGAATCTATGAAAAGACGAAGTCGAAAATCTGGAACTAAACTATCAATCACGGGGTTTAAACAGCATATGACAGAAACCAGAGAGAATGAACTCAAAGTAAAGGCAAACGAAAAGACGCCCAGGTGCAGCAGTGAGGGCAAGCATGGGGGCTTCATAAGGAACAGAAGCGACGTGGGGCGTCTGAAAGGCCTGAAGTCTGACCCCTCACTTGGCTGGCCCTTTCTCTCCAGCAGCTGTCGGCTCCTCCAGGGCTCCTGGCGTCCTCCGCCAGGTGGCCCCAGCCACCGAAGCCCTCCAGACCCATCCACACACTTCACGCCACCCTGCTCCCCAAGGCCTGTGCCTGGCCCCACTGCGAGGAAAGGCAAGATCAAACCACAAGACGACATGAGATCACATCCCATTCCTACCACTTCCCCTCTCAGTTCCTCTGGTGAAATCTCTGTATCTCTCGGGTAACCCAAAAAAGCCCGATCCACTGTGGTCCAGTTGATTCCGACTCACAGTGACCCTATAGGGCGGAGTCGAACTGCTCCTGTGGGTTTCTGAGCCTGGAAGCCTTTTCGGGAACAGAAAGCCCCATCTCTCTCCCGAGGAGCAGCTGGTGGGATCAAATGGCTGACCTGGCAGTGAGCGGCCCTGCATATTACCTAGCCCTCGGGTAAGCAGAGGTAAAAATGGAAACACTAACACTGCCTCGGAGGTGTGGCGAGGACGAAGGAAGCACAGCGTGCAAAGACCTGTATCTAGCACCTCGCAGAGAAGACGTGCTCGGTGCAAGCAAGCGTGTCCCTGCCTTTCGTCCGGACCCCATCACCCCCTCCTCCCTAGACCCTCCACCATGGTTGGCACTCGCGGAGTTGCTAAGCTGTTGCTTCTAAGTCTCCTGGCTCAGGACCTCACCAGAGGGGTCTAGGGACCTGCCCAAGGATTCACAGCAAGTCGTGTGCCAGAGCCAGCATTGAGGACTCAGGCGTGCTGCCGGTGCCACGGGCGGGCACTGCCCCAGCCCAGCCCCACTGACCTGAGCGCTCGGTCCAGCGTCAGGCCCGAGAAGTCGAAGAAACTGAGGTACTCTCCAGCCACCAGCCTGCTGAACTCGTTGCTGCAGGAGAGCAGGGTTTGTTAGCATGCTGTGAGAAGACAGAACAATGTGGGGCCCCTAGAGTGGCACCAGGGCACCCTGACAGCCCCCA